CAGTTTTTAAAACGTAAGTAACAAAAATGTGTTAAATAAACTAATGGAAAAATAGTAACACAATAAAATAACAATAAGGAGGCTATATACAAAGGGTACCGGTACAGAGTCAATATGCAGGGGTGCGGGTTAGTCAAGGTAATTGAGGTAAATGCACATGTAGGTAGCGGTGAGCAATATGTCCTGAGCGACCCACTCATTAAAATAGAAATTATCAGCGGCGACCTGTCATTCAGGGCAGGTGGGGCACAGCCCAACCTGTTTTGAGCCCCACCTGTTTAGCAACAATAACAAAAAATACATATATACATTGCCATTGGAAAGGATTCAGACCCCTTGACTTATTCCACATTTTGTTACGTTACAGCTTCATTCTAAAATTGATTAAATTACATTTATTCCTCATCAATCTACACACAATACCCCATAATGACAAAGTGAAAACAGGTTTTTAGAATTTTTTGCAAATGTATTAAAAAATAAAAACAGAAATACCTTATTTACATAAGTATTCAGACCCTTTGCTATGAGATTCGAAATTGAGCTCAGGTGCATCCTATTTCCATTGATCATCCTTGAGATGTCTCTACAACTTGATTGGAGTCCACCTGTGGTAAATTCAATTGATTGGACATGATTTGGAAAGGCACACGTCTACAGTTGAAGTCGGAAGTTTACATACAACTTAGCCAAATACCTTTAAACTCAGTTTTTCACAATTCCTGACATTTAATCCTAGTAAAACTTCCCTGTTTTAGGTCAGTTAGGATCACCATTTTATTTTAAGAATGTGAAATGTCAGAATAATAGTAGAGAGAATGATTTATTTCAGCTTTTATTTCTTTCATCACATTTCCAGTGGGTCAGAAGTTTACATACACTCAGTTAGTATTTGGTAGCATTGCCTTTAAATTGTTTAACTTGGGTCAAACGTTTCAGGTAGCCTTCCACAAGTTTCCCACAATAAGTTGGGTGAATTTTGGCCCATTCCTCCTGACAGAGCTTGTGTAACTGAGTCAGGTTTGTAAGCCTCCTTGCTCGCACACGCTTTTTCAGCTCCGAGACAGGATTGTGTCGAGACACAGATCTGGGGAAGGCTACCAAATAATGTCTGCAGCATTGAAGGTCCCCAAGAACAGAGTGGCCTCCATCATTCTTAAATGGAAGAAGTTTGGAACCACCAAGACTCTTCCTAGAGCTGGCCGCCCAGCCAAACTGAGCAATCGATGGAGAAGGGCCTTGGTCAGGGAGGTGACCAATAACCCGATGGTCACTTTGACAGAGCTCCAGAGTTCCTCTGTGGAGATGGGAGAACCTTCCAGAAGGACAACCATCTCTGCAGCACTCCACCAATTAGACCTTTATGATAGAGTGGCCAGACGGAAGCCACTCCTCAGTAAAAGGCACATGACAGTTCGCTTGGAGTTTGCCAAAAGGCACCTAAAGACTCTCAGACCATGAGAAACAGGATTCTCTGGTCTGATGAAACCAAGATTGAACTCTTTGGCCTGAATGCCAAGCGTCACGTCTGGAGGAAACCTGGCCCATAATTACGGAATTATTGAATTACTGAATGCAATAAACCAAACATTAAAATGCTGTTATAGAAAGTAAAGTAAAAATCCAAACCAGTCCGTGAATCAATAGCTGTGTAGTTTGTTTATGGTTTAATGCCTAGCCAGGGTATTCTGTGCATACGACAAATAGACTTGACTTGAATTTTGAATAATGTTCATTTGTGTATAAATGGTTGAAGATTTTCCATCAATGACAATAAAAAATGAATAAAAAGATTGCAAATTAGCAATAATATTAGCTAGTATTTTCCAGCTAGCATTTTCACCACCTAGTACGCATGCCCTGACGCCTTCCTCACGGCAAGGTGTTCTAGGATTTATATGAGGTGGGAGAGTGAGTATGGTAGGTTTGCAAGAGTTTAAATCCGGTGTGGAAGAGTGATCGAGAGTTTTTCAGACATGCACGCACACAACAGTGTGTGTTCCCTGCAGTATACGCTGTCAGAAACTGAGAAACGCTGTTTGTTCCTGGTTAAGAACCTGATCACGCCGGGTTTACAGACAGGTTTAAGTCGTCTGAACACCAACCTGTTCGTTTCCCAACGTTCACACAGGGTGTGCCGAAGCCATTTATGTGTAACGTGCCATTGATAAGTCCCGAAAACTGTTTGTTTGTGGGAAGTTATCTGGAATTTTCAACCCAGAAATGTGTATTTTCATGCAATGAAAAGAGTGTTTATGTACACTTTGTACTGTAACTCTAGCATACTGTCAAAAACGGGATCGATGCGATTGTGATAAAGATTAAGTGCTTCATTTATGTGAGGCAGCACTGTTCCATGATATTGTGTGTCCCTAGCTTTGAAAATTATCTTATTTCCTGGAGAAATAGGTTAATTTGGAATTAATTTGCTGCATCAAATCACACATCCTTGAATGTTATCTATCATTAACGTTTCTGTTACCATTTAAGTGTTTGAATCGTTTCCTAGAAATGTGATGCATTTGATGGATTTTGGACCCTTTTGTTTGTTGTTTATTACTCATGATGGTACTGTATGAGGCCTTGTGGTTCTCATCCGAGACAGCGTTGTCTCCCTCGATTTCCCCTTATAGAGGACAGGAGCGGTGATCAAAACCATGTGCCCCGTTTTCCACAAGCCCCTCCGGCTGCTCCCAGGGCAAAATATGAGAAGAGACAAAAATAGGAAAAATTGAACACTGCCTCCGTTTTCATCCACACTCAAACAGGCATGAATTCAGTACATTGGTAACATTGGTAACATTGGTAACACATTGAGGATAGGGAAACGAAGCTCTGAAATAAAAACAAATCAAATCAAAGTGTATTGGTCACGAACACAGATTTGCAGCTCCAACAGTGCAGCAATATCTGTCAATGCAATAACAATACACACAATCAAAACAAAATATAAAAACAACAACAACAAAACAGAAAACAAGAATATAATATAAAAATTAGCAATGTCAGAGTCCCCCAAAAAAGTATATAATATGTAAATGGTGTGTATAGACAGTATGGACAGTATATTAATAGAAAAGGTGTGTACAGCAGTAGTTATATAGGATGAGCCATGACTAGAATACAGTATATACATATAAAGTGGCTAAAACAGTATATAATAATTATTAAAGTGACCTGTGATCTATGTACAGTGCAGCTTTGCACACACTTGGCATTCTCTCAACCAACTTCATGAGGTAGTCACCTGGAATGCGTTTCAATTAACAGGTGTGGCTTCTTAAAAGTTAATTTGTGGAATTTATTTCCTTCTTAATGTGTTTGAGCCAATCAGTTGTGTTGTGACAAGGTGGGGGGGGGGGGGGGAACTTTGAACGTTTCTTCAAGTGCAGTCACAAAAACTGGCTCTCATGAGGACCGCCACAGGAATGGAAGTCCCAGAGTTACCTCTGCTGCAGAGGATAAGTTCATTAGAGTTACCAGCCTCAGAAATTGAAGCCCAAATAAATGCTTCACAGAGTTCAATTCACAAACACATCTCAACATCAACTGTTTGGAGTGGACTGCTGCAAAGAAACCACTACTAATGACTTTTTGATTAAGTTATGGCAGAAAATAACATCTTTAGCCTTTATGTGACCTGAGTAATGGACACAATCCTTTTAATTGTCATATTTACATGGATAGTGATGTGATTGATTGTGTGTGCACGCAAGATCAGTTTAGAATTGTATTTTGGTCAATCTCGTAGTGGAGGTTCTGCCATATGGGATTCATTTAACTTAAGTTACAGTGTTAACCCAAATCTGAGACTGGAATGGCTTGGAACAACATAACAGGTCATAGGTATGAATTGTGTTTCCAAACTGTAAGAAAACAGTTGGTTGATATATCGAGTATGTGTGTGTCCTAAATAGCACCCTATTGCCTATGTAGTGCACTACTTTTTGCCAAGGCCCATAGGGCTCTGTTCAAAAGTAGTGCACTGCACAGGGAATAGGGTGCTATTTGAGACACCCACACAAGTTTAGTGTTGCATTGCCACAGCTAATCATGTGCCTTTACAAATTCAGTTATGATCTGAAATGCAACTCAATCCATTTTTAAGTTAAAAATAAATATTTATTAAAGTAGTTGTTCTTGCTTAGTTACTGTAGCTGTAGTACTCTTTGTTTACTACATCTGCACATCTTGTCTGGGAGTTTGTACACAAGTTCTCCAAACATATCTAATTCTGCCAAATCAACCAGATACCCTGCCATGGGTATTGTGGTAGAACCCCCGATAGTGATCGCTCATGCTTCATTTCATCTCCTTCTTACCTAGATTGAATTACAAAAATTCCAAAAGCTTATAAAAGTCTGTATACCTGGCACCAGACAAAGAGTGCTTACTTGTAAGACCTATTCACATGCCCCTGGAAAAACCTTTATCTCCATACCTGGATCTAGGCGGAAAGAGCCCGCTGACACGATCTCGGAAAGCGGGTATTTTTGTATTTGAAACTAGAGGAAAATAACTTCCATTCAGCAAGAAGGCCACTAATAACATCTCATGATAATGTCTCAATATAGATCAGAAGCACTTCACTAAAATACACATAAAATAATCAGCTTCCTCATAAACAGATACCCAAATAAAATATAAATAGCAATGGCTCCCTGGGAGTCTGAGGGGACTTTAAAGACCAACTGTAAATATACAATGAAACTAGTGTTGTGGTTTGTTTAACCCAGCGCATTCTTGTGAACAGCAACGATGTCACAGTTTCACATTTTTGTGAACAGGGAGGAGGAGCAATCGTTATATCACAGTTTTCAAGCTTCTATACACCATAAAGTTGACTTTTGGACTAGAATTGTACACAACTACAACTCTAACAACATATTTCACCAAAAAAAGTAAATTTTTGACAAAAGTTGCTCTTTAATATGTGTTGAGTGGATGCAGTAAGGCCATAACTTAGCAGTCTGATGTGACATGTTTGTGTCTTTGTAGCTCTCAGAGATGGCCGAGAGGACTGCCATCAGAGGAGTTGTCTGGAGTGTTCCAAGGACAACGGTTGCCTACGCTGCCCAGAGCGCCTGTTCCTCTTCTTCCACCGCGAAGGCATGACCCACCATGGCTCCTGTCTGCATGCCTGCCCAGAAAGCTACTTTGGCCAGCGTGGCAAAGACATGAACCGATGCATGAGTGAGTTTGAGGAGCATTTGCTCGGGCCAAAAGCTGTAGCTGTCACAGCATATTATGCTTATCTCTCTACTGTCGATTGGCATAATACGCTGTGACAGCTAAGACTAATTGGTGAATGAAAACCAACACTTGTTTATAAAAAGCATGTTGTTTTGCATTATAATAGGGTTATATGATGTGATAGAAAATCTCAAGGGACAATTTGTGAGTTGATACAGTGAGGGAAAAAAGTATTTGATCCCCTGCTGATTTTGTTCGTTTGCCCACTGACAAAGAAATGATCAGTCTACAATTTTAATGGTAGGTTTATTTGAACAGTGAGAGACAGAATAACAACAATAACATCCAGAAAAACGCATGTAAAAAATGTCATAAATTGATTTGCATTTTAATGAGGGAAATAAATATTTGACCCCCTCTCAATCAGAAAGATTTCTGGCTCCCAGGTGTCTTTTATACAGGTAACGAGCTGAGATTAGGAGCACACTCTTAAAGGGAGTGCTCCTAATCTCAGCTTGTTACCTGTATAAAAGACACCTGTCCACAGAAGCAATCAATCAATCAGATTCCAAACTCTCCACCATGGCCAAGACCAAAGAGCTCTCCAAGGATGTCAGGGATAAGATTGTAGACCTACACAAGGCTGGAATGGGCTACAAGACCATCGTCAAGCAGCTTGGTGAGAAGGTGACAACAGTTGGTGCGATTATTCGCAAATGGAAGAACACAAAATAACTGTCAATCTCCCTCGGCCTGGGGCTCCATGCAAGATCTCAATTCGTGGAGTTACAATGATCATGAGAACGGTGAGGAATCAGCCCAGAACTACACGGGAGGATCTTGTCAACGATCTCAAGGCAGCTGGGACCATAGTCATCAAGCAAACAGTTGGTAACACACTACGCCGTGCAGGACTGAAATCCTGCAGCGCCCGCAAGGTCCCCCTGCTCAAGAAAGCACATATACAGGGCCGTCTGAAGTTTGCCAATGAACATCTGAATGATTCAGAGGAGAACTGGGTGAAAGTGTTGTTTTCAGATGAGACCAAAATTGACCTCTTTGGCATCAACTCAACTCGCCGTGTTTGGAGGAGGAGGAATGCTGCCTATGACCCCAAGAACACCATCCCCACCGTCAAACATGGAGGTGGAAACATTATGCTTTGGGGGTGTTTTTCTGCTAAGGGGACAGGACAACTTCACCGCATCAAAGGGACGATGGACGGGGCCATGTACCGTCAAATCTTGGGTGAGAACCTCCTTCCCTCAGCCAGGGCATTGAAAATGGGTCGTGGATGGGTATTCCAGCATGACAATGACCCAAAACACACGGCCAAGGCAACAAAGGAGTGGCTCAAGAAGAAGCACATTAAGGTCCTGGAGTGGCCTAGCCAGTCTCCAGACCTTAATCCCATAGAAAATCTGTGGAGGGAGCTGAAGGTTTGAGTTGCCAAACGTCAGCCTCGAAACCTTAATAACTTGGAGAAGATCTGCAAGAACACAATCCCTCCTGAGATGTGTGCAAACCTGGTGGCCAACTACAAGAAACGTCTGACCTCTGTGATTGCCAACAAGGGTTTTGCCACCAAGTACCAAGTCATGTTTTGCAGAGGGGTCAAATACTTATTTCCCTCATTAAAATGCAAATCAATTCATAACAATTTTGACATGCATTTTCTGGATTTTTTTGTTGATATTCTCTCTCACTGTTCAAATAAACCTACCATTAAAATTATAGACTGATCATGTCTTTGTCAGTGAGCAAACGTACAATATCAGCAGGGGATCAAATACGTTTTTCCCTCACTGTATGCCATGTTACAAACCATGTAGTGTTAAGTCAAGTTACTTCAATTTGGAATGATATTGGCACTATCTAGAGTCGCAGAATATTTTTCATGATCGTTAGGTTGTGCACATAAAATGGGAGTTTGATTAACCGCACTTAACTGCACCGGATAAACTGCACTTGCACTTTTCTTGCTGTGTAAACACTGCTACGAGGGTGATTCCACGCGATCATTGTCTGTGGCCAATATAAATGTGTTATGCTGGCATGTGCTGTAGAAAAGATTTAAGCAATTTGTTTGTCTTTCTACAGCACAACAACATTACATGTTTGAATGTTAACAGTTATCCCGACTAAAACAGGTATTTAATTTATATGTTTTAAATCAGTAGAATACCCAATGTGCAATTTTGAAACGTGGTAGTGCATCAGCAGCTTTCCTCACTGACAGACCTTAGCAAGCTTTACCTGCCAGGGGGCCCCCATTGATTTTGTTATAATGTTTGAGTCAGTACAGAAATGTGTAGAATAGCAGAACATTTGATTTAAAAATGTAAAACTTTCTTTGCGCCCCATAGCTAAATCTGTAGAATTGCAGGAAATAGCTATAAAAATTGTAAAATTTTCTGTGTGCCCCATGGCACAATTGGCATATGTGCAGACAATTTGCTTTATAACCACAAGAGTTTATATGCGCCCCATTGCAAACATTTTAGAATTGCAGGAAATTTGCTTTATAACTGCAAAAGAGTTTTACTAAGGGCCCCAAAAGGCTAGCCCAGCATTTAAAAAAATGTCTACATCCAACAGGACAACTTCAAATCAAATCAAATCAAATTGTATTTGCCACATACAACAGGTGTAGACATTACCGTGAAATGCTTACTTACAGCCCTTAACCAACAATGCATTTATTTTTTTATACAAAAGTAAAATAAAACAACAACAACAAAAAAGTGTTGAGAAAAAAGAGCAGAAGTAAAATAAAATCACAGTAAGGAGGCTATATAATAATGATAATAATAATAATAATAATAATAATAATATTATAATAATATTGTTAATATATAATAATAATATATAGAGGGGGGTACCGGTGCAGAGTCAATGTGCGGGGGCACCGGCTAGTTGAGGTAGTTGAGGTAATATGTACATGTGGGTAGAGTTAAAGTGACTATGCATAAATAATTAACAGAGTAGCAGCAGCGTAAAAAGTTGGGGTGGGGGTGAAGGGGCAGTGCAAATAGTCTGGGTAGCCATGATTAGCTGTTCAGGAGTCTTATGGCTTGGGGGTAGAAACTGTTGAGAAGCCTTTTGGACCTAGACTTGGCGCTCCGGTACCGCTTGCCGTGCGGTAGCAGAGAGAACAGTCTATGACTAGGGTGGCTGGAGTCTTTGACAATTTTGAGGGCCTTCCTCTGACACTGCCTGGTATAGAGGTCCTGGATATCAGGAAGCTTGGCCCCAGTGATGTACTGGGCCGTACGCACTACCCTCTGTAGTGCCTTGCGGTCGGAGGCCGAGCAGTTGCCATACCAGATGGTGATGCAACCAGTCAGGATGCTCTCGATGGTGCAGCTGTATAACTTTTTGAGGATCTGAGGGGGAATAGGCTTTGTCGTGCCCTCTTCACGACTGTCTTGGTGTGTTTGGACCATGATAGTTTGTTGGTGATGTGGACACCAAGGAACTTGAAGCTCTCAACCTGTTCCACTACAGCCCCGTCGATGAGAATGGGGGCGTGCTCAGTCCTCTTTTTTTCCCTGTAGTCCACAATCATCTCCTTTGTCTTTGTCACGTTGAGGGAGAGGTTGTTATCCTGGCACCACACGGCCAGGTCTCTGACCTCCTCCCTATAGGCTGTCTCATCGTTGTCGGTGATCAGGCCGTGGCAGATGTGTTGTTACCTACCCTTACCACCTGGGGGCGGCCCGTCAGGAAGTCCACGATCCAGTTGCAGAGGGAGGTGTTTAGTCCCAGGATCCTTAGCTTAGTGATGAACTTTGAGGGCACTATGGTGTTGAACGCATCATCTGTGGATCTGTTGGGGCGGTATGCAAATTGGAGTGAGTCTAGGGTTTCTGGGATGATGGTGTTGATGTGAGCCATGACCAGCCTTTCAAAGCACTTCATGGCTACAGACGTCAGTGCTACGGGTCGGTAGTCATTTAGGCAGGTTATCTTAGTGTCCTTGGGCACGGGGACTATGGTGGTCTGCTTGAAACATGTTGGTATTACAGACTTAGTCAGGGACATGTTGAAAATGTTGGTGAAGACACTTGCCAGTTGGTCAGCACATGCTCTGAGTACACGTCCTGGTAATCCGTCTGGCCCTGCGGCCTTGTGAATGTTGACCTGCTTAAAAGTCTTACTCACATCGGCTACAGAGAGCGTGATCACATAGTCATCTGGAACAGCTGGTGCTCTCATGCATGCTTCAGTGTTGCTTGCCTCGAAGCGAGCATAGACGTGGTTTAGCTCGTCTGGTAGGCTTGTGTCACTGGGCAGCTCGCGGTTGTGCTTCCCTTTGTAGTCTGTAATAGTTTTCAAGCAACTTCTAAGTGATATAGAGTGAAAACAGCCAAATATATAAAAATCAGACTTTATTAACAACATAGTAGGCCTACTAGAACACATATGACAGATTTGACAAAAAAGCACTTTAAAGAAAATCGAACACGACGGCAGGACGGCTGTGAGTCGCAAAGTGAGAACACCCTTCTGACAGGGTTATGTCGTTGAGTGGAGCATAAGACATTAGGATTTCCAAAAACGCACAGTGGTTGAGAGCCAAATGGCTGCAGCAGACCTGGCTTGAAATAGTATTTGTCTTCTTTCAAATCCTTTGAGTGTTTCATTGAGCCTGTCTGGAGTGACAGATGGGCCAGGTTTGCACTTTTGGGACTATTCAAGCAAGCTTAGCTAAGCGCAGTGAAAAAGTAGCAGAAAAACACATTTGAACCCAGGTCTGCTATGCACTGAATAATGTAGAAATGCTTTGTTCTTTCTCGAAGAATGCAGATCTCCAGAATGTGAGAGATGCTTCAACAAAGACTTCTGCACTAAATGTAAGGGAGGATTTCATCTGTTCAAAGGCACGTGCTACAGCAGCTGTCCAGATGGCACCTTTCCCCACCTAACAGACTGCATCGGTGAGTGATTTAAATATATAACTGAGGTAATGATAGGGCCTATATTTAATATATTTATCAATAAACTCAGTGCTTTCAAAGTATATCTAATACATTTGTATGGGTTTACAAAGCCAAATAAATAGATCTTCAGCTGATTGTAAAGATCAACTGTATAGTTTTGACATCTGCAGAATGTAAAGGTATGCAGGTGCGCTTTCAATAGGGGAGAGTGGGATAAGTTGAGCCGAAGGGTTAGTTGAGCCACCCCTTGTTTGTAGGAAACTATATATCAAATTAATCCTGTGACCAAATATTTAGGAATAGGTTATCATTTTATGGAGTCTGTGAAGGAAGAAACCACATGGAAAAAGCGATAAGCAAGTTAGGTCAAATTAATTTATTGTGTTATAGGTTTGATCATGCTTGTATCTAAACCAAAGTAGATACAGTAGTTTTACGATTGTTTTTTTTATCAGTTGGGGTCTCTATAAGCTACAATATGTGATCCTAAAACTAGCATGAAAGTGCATAATTGTAGCTGTGTGGGCTAAGCTAGTCAAAATGTTTGCCTTGGGGTAAGTTGAGCCAATGGCCACCATACCCCATACAAATGATTATATTTTGTCAGTTTTATGCATATTATTCTTGCAATGTGCCATGCATATGAACTCAATATGCACATTTGTATTATTACGGAGCAGACATCATCATGGTCCGTGTATACAAACGTAAAACAAGCAGGGGTCTAACTACCCTTGAGGTTCTTGAGAGAGCAGCCAAGGAAGTGAGAGAAGGGAAGAAGTCCAGTATGAACTTTCTAAACATATCAATCATTTCGCAGACCAGTTTCATGGGCTTAGTAGCCTCAAATGCAGAGAACTTGCCTATCGAAACATAATATCTATCCTAGACAACTGGTCAAGAAATGAAAGGGTAAGCGATATTGAACAGAAAGAGCTACAGTATATCTGAATCTAGGCATATATTTAAGATATACAATATAACACACCCCCATTACATGAATTAAACTTTGACCTTCCATCACCCACTGTCACAGGACACCATCACCCACTTACCCCAAGGCGGCTCAACTTACCCTGTCCCTATGCTCAATTAGGGACAGGGTAAGTTGATAACAAGATGGCGCTGACAGACACGGTTGCCTTGTTCCTAGCTCCTAGCTAACTATGCAGTATTTTGTTTTTTTGTGTGTGATTGCTTGCATTATTTGCTCAGAACGTTACTTGCATTATTACCTACAGCCGAAAATAAATTTTGGATATTAGATCGGCGGTCTCTCACCAGCAATTCGACTTTCCTGAATTGGATCCTTTGTTTGAACTCCCCGAGGCAATTCCATTCATCCCACCGGCTGCTCTAAGACGCCGTAGCCAGAGAAGAGGAATAAGGTCTGGGCTCCTTATTCCTCCTAGACTCAGGAGGCGTGCATAATGTCCACTACTTCCGAGTGTATTTCTCGCAAACACTCAGTCCCTGGACAATAAATTAGATGAGCTCAGGGCGAGGATCTCCTTCCAGAGAGACATCAGGGACTGTAACATACTGGCTCTCACCGGATATACTGTCCCCATCCATTCAGCCAGCGGGGTTCTTCGTCCATCACACAGACAGGGAGAAAAAACTGCGGTGTATGTTTCATGATTAACTACTTATGGCGTGATTGTGGTAACATACAGGAACACAAGTCCTTTTGTTCTCCCGATCTGGAATACCTCACCATCAAATGTCGACCGCATTACCTCCTGAGATGATCATTTTCTTCTGTCATTGTCACGGCTGTGTACACTACCGGTCAAAAGTTTTAGAACACCTACTCATTCAAGCGTTTTTCTTTATTTTGACTATTTTCAATATTGTAGAATAAAGACAAAACTATTAAATAACACATATGGAATCATGTAGTAACCAAAAAAGTGTTCAACAAATCAAAATATATTTTATATTTGAGATTCTTCAAATAGCCACTCTTTGCCTTGATGACAGCTTTGCACACTCTTGGCATTCTCTCAACCAGCTTCATGAGGTATTCACCTGGAATGCATTTCAATGAACAGGTGTGCCTTCTTAAAAGTTAATCAGTTTGAGCCAATCAGTTGTGTTGTGACAAGGTAGGGGGGCCCCCAACCATAAGATAGCCCTATTTGGTAAAAGACCAAGTCCATATTATGGCAAGAACAGCTCAAATAAGCAAAGAGAAACAACAGTCCATCATTACTCTAAGTCATGAAGGTCAGTCAATACGGAACATTTCAAGAACTTTGAAAGTTTCTTCAAGTGCAGTCGCAAAACCATCAAGCGCTATGATGAAACTCGCTCTCATAAGGACCGCCACAGGAATGGAGTTACCATCCTCAGAAATTGCAGCCCAAATAAATGCTTCACAGATTTCAAGTAACAGACACATCTCAACATCAACTGTTCAGGGGAGACTGTGTGAATCAGGCCTTCACGGTCGAATTGCTGCAAAGAAACCATTACTAAAGGGCCAAGAAACATGAGCAATGGACATTAGACCGGTGAAAATTTGTCCTATGGTCTGGAGTCCAAATTTGAGATTTTTGGTTCCAACCGCTGTGTCTTTGCGAGACGCGGTGTGGGTGAACGGATGATCTCCGCATGTGTATTTCCCACCGTAAAGTATGGAGGAGGAGGTGTTATGGTGTGGGGGTGCTTTGCTGGTGACACTGTCTGTGATTTGTTTAGAATTCAAGGCACACTTAACCAGCATGGCTACCACAGCATTCTGCAGCGATACGCCATCCCATCTGGTTTAGGCTTAGTGGGACTATCATTTGTTTTTCAACAGGACAATGACCCAACACACCTCCACGCTGTGTAAGGGCTATTTTACCAAGAAGGAGAGTGCTGCATCAGATGACCTGGCCTCCTCAATCCCCCGACCTCAAACAAGATGGTTTGGGATGAGTCGGACCGCAGAGTGAAGGAAAAGCAGCCAACAAGTGCTCATCATATGTGGGAACTCCTTCAAGACTGTTGGAAAAGCATTCCAGGTGAAGCTGGTTGAGAGAATGCCAAGAGTGTGCAAACCTGTCATTTTACATATCATCAAGGCAAAGGGTGGCGATTTGAAAAATCTCAAATCTCAAATATATGTTGTTGAACACTTGTTTTGTTACTACATGATTCCATATGTCTTATTTCATAGTTTTAATGTCTACACTATTATTCTACAATGTAGAAAATAGTAAAAATAAAGAAAAACCCTTGAATGAGTAGGTGTTCTAAAACTTTTGACCGGTAGTGTCACGACTTCCTCCGAAGCTGCCTCCTTCGGCGTTCGTCGTCACCGGCCTTCTAGCCACTGCCGCTCCTCTTCTCATCATTCCATTTGATTTGTCTTGTTTTTTACACACACCTGGTTCATATCCCCTCATCAGTCCCTGTATAAGTATTCCCTCTGCCTCCCATGTCTTTGTGTGTGATTGTTTCTATGGGAGGTGTCGATAGCTCGGTGGAGCATTATGTACTTTATCGCAGGGATATTCACCTGTGTGTTTTGTTTTCCCCAGTGCACCGTTAAGTCGCACTGTAGTTGTTATATGCATTGCTTCGAACCGCTGTATTGGCCGAATAAACCATTATTCTGTGATTTACACCTCCTGCGCCTGACTCCGTCCAAATCACCTGCTACAGAATCACACACCCAAACAGCATGGAGTCAGCAGTAGTGGGGAATATGCCTGGAGTCGTTGAGCGGGTCCGGGAGCATTCCAACATGTTAGCCAGCTTGGGAAAAGCGATGGATCGAGTTCTCCAGGCCAGCGCCTGGAGAGGAGAGGACCTGACCCTGCGGAACCAGCTGAGCGACCGGATCCAGCCACCAACACACCAGCACCCAGAGGTATTCACCTGTCTCGACCGAGGGAATATGACGGGACAGCGGCCATGCTGCCAGGGTTTCCTCCTGCAGCTGGACCTCTATTTCAACACCATCAGCCCTGCTCCATCGGATCGGGAGAAGGTGTCCGCCCTCGTCTCCTGCCTCTCGGGGAAAGCCCTGGAATGGGCCAACGCGGTCTGGAGTAAAGGAGGAGACGCGTTGACGGAGAATTATCTCGCCTCTTCCGGGCAGTCTTCGATCATCCCCCCGAAGGAAGAGAGGCGGGCGAGCGTCTGGTCCATCTGAGGCAGGGGACGAGGACCGCGCAAGACTTTGCCCTGGAGTTTAGAACTCTAGCGGCTGGGTCCGGGTGGAACGAGCGGGCCCTCATCGACCACTTCTGATACAGCCTGCGTGAGGACGTCCGAAGGAAGCTAGCCTGCCGGGAAACCACGTTGACCTTCAACCAACTGGTGGACATGGCCATCCGGTTGGACAACCTGCTGGCTTCGAGAGGACGTCCTGGAAGGGGCCTGCCCATTTCATCCCCCTTCAACCCGGATCACGGACTTTTGCGAACTGGAAACCGTATATCCTGAGGTCGCATTTGTTGTAGCTGGGGACTTTAAGATAAAGGAATAATAAGGAAATCTGAGGAAAACGCTACCGAAGTTCTGTGTTACTTGTGCATCGATAACTCTGGACAATTGCTATTCCCCCTTCCGTGACGGCTACAAGGCCCTCCCCCGCCCTCTTTTCGGCAAATCAGATCATACCTCCATTTTGCTCCTCCCCTCCTATAGTCAGAAACTTAAACAGGAAGTTTAAGGACTGTTCAAAGTTGGTTTGACAAATCAAAATCTATACTTCAAGTTTTGATCAAGTGGACTGGGAAATGTTCCGTGTTGCCTCTGAGAATAGTGTTGAAGTATACACTGAGTCGGTGACGGAGTACATTAGGAAGTGAGTAGAGGATGTTGTTACCACTGTGACAATTAGAACTTATCCAAACCAAAAACCATGGATAGATGTTAGCATTTGCGCTAAACTAAAAGCGCGAAGAACCGCATTTAACCACAGCAAGGTGACTGGAAACAAGGAAGTGTACAAACAGACCAGTTATGCCCTCCGTAAGGCAATCAAAGAGGCAAAATGATAGTACAAGGACAAAATGGAGACACAATTCAATGGCTCAGACACGAGACGTGACCCTGTGGGTCACTCAAGGATTATGAAGGGAAGGACAGCCACGCCGTGGACACTGACGCCTCGCTCCCGGGCAAGCTAAACACCTTCTTCGCCTGCTTCGAGGAAAACACAGAGCCAGCGACGCAGGCCAACGCCACTCAAGAGGACTGTAAGCTCTTGTTCTCTGTGGCCGACGTGAGTAAGAAATTTAAGCGTGTTAACCCTTGCGAGGGTGCCGGCCCAGACGGCATCCCAAGTGCTGTCCTCAGAGCATGTGCAGACCAGCTGGCTGGAGTGTTTACGGACATATTCAATCTCTCCCTATCCCAGTCTGTTGTCCCCACTTGCTTCAGGATGTCCACCATTGTTCCTATACCGAAGAAAGCGAAACACGCTGTCGTACATCTCCATCCAGAGCATCCCAAACATGCTCAATGGGTGAGTATGAAGGCCATGGAAGAACTGGGACATTTTCAGATTCCAGATTTGCAGTGCAATATCATGCTGAAATATGAGGTGATGGTGGCGGATGAATGGCATAACAATGAGCCTCAGAATGTCGTCACGGTATCTCTGTGCATTCAAATTGCCATCGATAAAATGCAATTGTGTTTGTTGTCCGTAGCTTATGCCTGCCCATACCATAACCCCACCGCCACCATGGGGCACTCTGTTCACAACGTTGACATCAACAAAACCGCTCGCCCATACGACGCTATACACGTGGTCTGCCATCTGTCCGGTACAGTTGAAACCGGGATTCATCCGTGAAGAGCACACTTCTCCAGCGTGTCAGTGGTCATCAAATGTGAGTATTTTCCCATTGAAGTTGGTTATGACGCCGAGTTGCAGTCAGGTCAAGACCCTGGTGAGTATAACGACCACGCAGATGAGCTTCCCTGAGACAATTTCTGACAGTTTGTGCAGACATTGTTCAGTTGTGCAAACCCACAGTTTCATCAACTGTCTGGTGAAGAAGCCGGATGTGGAGGTCCTGGGCTGGCGTGGTTAATCATAGTCTGCGGTTTTGAGACCGGTTGGACGTACTGGCAAATTCTCTAAAATGACGTTAGAGGTGGCTTATGGTAGAGAAATTAATATTCAATTCTCTGGCAACAGCTCTGGTGGACATTCCTGCAGTCAGCATGCCAATTGCACGCTTCTGTGGCATTGTGTTGTGTGACAAAACTGCACATTTTAGAATGGCCTTTTATTGTCCCCAGCACAATGTGCACCTGTGTAATGATCATGCTGTTTAATCTGCTTCTTGATATGCCACACCTGTCAGGTGGATGGATTATCTTGGCAAAGGAGAAATGCTCACTAACTGCAGGAATGTCCACCAGAGCTGTTGCCAGAGAATTTAATGTTAATTTCTTTACCATATCGTTTTAGAGAATTTGGCAGTACGTCCAACCGGCTACACAACCGCAAACCACGTGTAACCGCGCCAGCCCAGGACCGCCACATCCGGCTTCTTCACCTGCGGGATCGTCTGAAACTAACCACCAAGGAGCTGATGAAACTGAGGAGTATTTCTGTCTATAATAAAACCCTTTTGTGGGGAAAATATCATTCTGATTGGCTGGTTCTTGTTCCCCAGTGGGTGGGCCTGGCTCCCAAGTGGGTGGGACTATGCCCTCCCAGGCCCACACATGGCTACGTCCCTGCCCAGTCATGTGTAATCCATAGATTAGGGCCTAATTCATTTATTTCCATTGTCTGATTTCCTTATATAAACTGTAACTCAGTAAAATTGTTGAAATTGTTGCATGTTGCATTTATATTTTTGTTCATATATTTATATTCCGGAGTCTGACATTGATCGTTCTGATATTTCTTAATTTCTTAATTTACATTTTTGGGATTTGTGTGTATTGTTTTGTATTGTTCAGTATACTGCACTGTTGGAAAGCATTTCGCTGCACCTGCGATAACATCTGAAAAACGCGACCAATACAATTTTATTTAAAAAAAACATTTAAAAAAACATATGTAAGAGCGAAAACTGTAATGTTGACATTAATTATAATTATTTCCAGGGGTACACTATATCCAGAAATATGTAGATATCTTTGTTAGAAAGAATACTATATTTACCTTGACATAGTGATGCTGAATGTAAAAATGGCTCAACTTACCCCAATCTCCCCTACCTGTGTCTCTAGCTAGTCCACTCTGATGTATTTGTCTAAAGTCTTTCGTTTCCACTGTGTCTTTAGAAGGCTGTGCGTTCAGCGTTGTGGGTGACTGGGGAGAGTGGAGCCCCTGTCTCCGCAACGGCCTGAGCTGTGGCTTCAGGTGGGGGCGCCAGACTAGGACCCGCATGCTGTCCTTGAGAGTGCCTGATGATAAGGCATTGCTCTGTCCATCTCAAAGTAAGAGGTGCAGAATGAAAAAGAGATGCCCCGAAGGTGAGCTGAACATGATGGTCTGAAACAGTATTGGGAATACTGTATTCCATCTCTCTCTTTTCCTCTCAGACAAACATAGTCATGTGACAAAATGTTGGCTGTATTTCCATCTCTCTCTTTTCCTCTCAGACAAACATAGTCATGTGACAAAATGTTGGCTGTATTTCTGCAGTATCATCTGAACAAAATAAGGTTTACTCATACCCTGGCTAAGAAAAGCATAATCTTTGCCTAGTATGATTTTTTTATCTTTCATTTGCTGTTAATAAATGAGGAAAGATACGCTTCGGCTATCGTCCTGAAGTTAGACATATCATTTGTTCTCTATTTTCTGACAGAATCAGTCCAAACCCAATTAAAAATATATTTCTAAACGCCCCACTGTGAAATGTTGTTTTACCTAAGCATTCAGGGCTATGATAAGGCAACTCCCCAGTAGTTATATCCACAACAACAGAAGTAAACATTGTATTCAATAACTTGTTTTTGACTTGGCACGTGGTCGCCAATATTTTGTTTTCTTGTTCATGAAATGATTCATAGATGTCATATGTATATTTCTCAGCCATTAGCTGGTAGCAAGGCTCTTCATTGCTACCCCCCCAAAACACGTCCGTTGTGGTTTTTTTAATGTTCAATATTATTGTTTTTTCTCTCAATTAGAGATCTTTTCTGTTTAAGCAGCAAGTATTTTTCCCTCTTGATGCTACACTGGAAGGCATTTCTTTGCTGCAATTATCATTGTCATTGGCAGATCAGATGTCCAGTGGAATTAAAAGACGGAGAAACATGATCTGCTGAGCTCAAATTTGGAACAGCCATCACCCAGGCTTAATGACATCCATCTGTGATGAAAAGGCACTGTGGCATTTTCTGACATTCCTCTGTTCTCCTAGATTAGTTTACATCTTTTAATTTCCATTCACATTGTTAATACTTTCAGACGAAAGTCCTAGTCCACATTGTGTTTTGGTCTCTTTCACAATTGACAACAGCATTAATGGAGACTCACAGGAACCACCACTGTGTTGAGCTGAATGACAAACAATGAGTGGTCAAGTCATCCAATGAGCATTGATTGCATGAAAGAATTCGGAACACTTGTTTTTCCTAATAGCCTGGTTGATTATGTTATGGAAGTGTATGACCAACTTTAGGAAAGATGGTATTTCTGTCATTAAGTCATAGTTATGCCACCTTGTGATTTTAGATCCCCATTTGAATAGAGCAGTTGAGCATTACAGGTTTGTCAAATAAACATAAGTACAGTTCATTAGTGCAGTTTGTGCAGATGTGATCTTCAGTGAGTTTATGTTTCGCATTAGGCCTAAGCGAAGTACAGTAATATTCACATCATATTTAGCATCTTTTAGGCACATACTGATATCGTAGCCCTTTCCTGCAGTCAAATGACCTAGTGGCCTCATATGTCAAACGGTTTTGTTATATTTCAGTCTTCTGTGATGTATATAAAGTGTAATATTGGGATGCAAACTCAAAATTGAATACATTTCAACTCTATATCTTACATGGTACAGGTGTCTTCTTCTTTTTAAGCCCATAACCATGTGTGTGAGGTGTATACTTTTGTTTCAAAGTATATTTGTTTAAGACTACCAAGAAACACTGTGTGACCCTGATTTAGCCTACTGCAGTAAAAGGTTAAATAAAAAAAATATATATATATATTTCACCTTTATTTAACCAGGTAAGCCAGTTGAGAACAAGTTCTCATTTACAACTGCGACCTGGCCAATATAAAGCAAAGCAGTGCGATAAAAACAACAACACAGAGTTACATATGGGGTAAAAAAACATAAAGTAAAAAAATACAACAGAAAATGTATATACAGTGTGTGCAAATGTAGTAAGTTATGGAGGTAAGGCAATAAATAGGCTATAGTGCAAAATAATTACAATTAGTATTAACACTGGAGTGCTAGATGTGCAAGAGATTATGTGCAAATAGAGATACTGGGGTGCAAAAGAGCAAAATAAATAACAATATAGGGATGAGGTAGTTGGGTGGGCTAATTTCAGATGGGCTGTGTACAGGTGCAGTGATCGGTAAGGTGCTCTGACAACTGATGCTTAAAGTTAGTGAGGGAGATAAGAGTCTCCAGCTTCAGAGATTTTTGCAATCCGTTCCAGTCATTGGCAGCAGAGAACTGGAAGGAATGGCGGCCAAAGGAGGTGTTGGCTTTGGGGATGACCAGTGAGATATACCTGCTGGAGCGCAGACTACGGGTGGGTGCTGCTATGGTGACCAATGAGCTAAGATAAGGCGGGGATTTGCCTAGCAGTGATTTATAGATGGCCTGGAGCCAGTTGGTTTGACGACGAACATGTAGTGAGGACCAGCCAACAAGAGCGTACAGGTCACAGTGGTGGGTAGTGTATGGGGCTTTGGAGACAAAACGGATGGCACTGTGATAGACTACATCCAATTTGCTGAGTAGAGTGTTGGAGGCTATTTTGTAAATGACATCGCCGAAGTCAAGGATCGGTAGGATAGTCAGTTTTACGAGGGCATGTTTGGCAGCATGAGTGAAGGAGGCTTTGTTGCAAAATAGGAAGCTGATTCTAGATTTAACTTTGGATTGGAGATTCTTAATGTGAGTCTGGAAGGAGAGTTTACAGTCTAACCAGACACCTAGGTATTTGTAGTTGTCCACATACTCTAGGTCAGACCCGTCGAGAGTAGTGATTCTAGTCGGGTGGGTGGGTGCCAGCAGCGTTCGATTGAAGAGCATGCATTTAGTTTTACTAGTGTTTAAGAGCAGTTGGAGGCTACTGAAGGAGTGTGAAATGGTCCAAACTTGAGTGTAATGTACGTTCTAATCATTCAGTTATACAAACATATGTATCAAGTCATTTTGATAGATATTTAAGTATTTATTGCGCTGTTCATATACTGTATATATATCCGAACTGATTTTGACTGACCGTTTTAAGAATGAATAGGGCTTACGACTGAAATGTATGACTCAGCATAGTATTTCTGTAATGTATAGTAATTTACAGTACATTATTGAGCTCAGTGGCCTGCAGAAAACACATGGAACCAACTAAAATAGGGGTAGCGTACACTGTAATGCAAAACATAGTCAACTCCCAGACATCATATGCGTTACATTATCAAGTTGCAATTTTTTCAAACACCCCCAGGCCATGTGAAACTGTAAGAGTTCATGTACTCATTAGTTGGGTATGGTTTTTTATACTTTATCATATAAGCTCCAATTGTGTTTCGCGAAAAGCAAATAAAGCTCATAGATACTGCATAAAAAATAGCCTACAGCGCAGTTGTTAAAACAATGAAAACAACAAGTTTGTAGAGTCTGTTGTTCTTTGGAGGGTGATATTTAGAAAAACAACAACTTAACTTAGCGTAGTGTTTCACAATCTTAGACCTGGGGACCCAACGGGGTACATATTTTTGTTTTAGCCCTAGCACTAACACACTTGATACAACTAATTAACTCATCATCAGGTGATTAGTTGAATCAGGTGTCTTAGAGCTTTAGGGCAAAAACATATATATGCACCCCTTTGGATCCCCAGAGCCAGGATTGGGAAACCCTGGCCTTTAGCTATTGATGTAAACAGACTCTCATCTTGTAGCAATAGCCACGGTTTACCAGCTGTGCTCCACTGTTAAGTTTGAGGACTTGACGTCAATACGAAGCATGTCTGCATGGGGGCTGCATATCATCACAGACACATTCTGCAAACCTCTTCATCCCGAGGTTTATACCGTTGCTGTTTGGCGCTAATTGCAGATTATTCTTTCTTAATTTACAATGTGTGGTGGCAATTTGTAGGATCTCCCATCAGCATTAAATGATGCTATTAATCAATGTTCATCATGACCTCTGTACCGTCTGATCACTATGATAAGAGATATTATAACTATGATAACACAATCATTTTGATCTGTTGATCCAGGTAAAAAATATTTTAGAACTTAGTGTGCGGCAAAAACACAGGTAGATAATTATTTTCAGGAAAAGGAACCATTTGGTTTACTGAATTAGTTTGTTTGAGTGAAAGGTTGCTAATAGTTGTCATCTATTTCTTCTTCTTTTTCTCCTTTTTCTTTGTCTTCTTCTTCTTCTTCTGCTGTTACTTTATATGCATTTATTTCAGTCCTTTCCGGACAAAACGGACACAGATGCAAGTTAATAATTCCTTTGATTACTTAAAGGTGCATACTTTTTTCCTTACAAATTGGCTTCTGTTGTACTCTTTTAATGTATTGAGACCTGCTCTGCAATACTATGTCTTTTGTTTTCAACAGTTGTAATTGTATTGAAAAGATCTGCCCGTAAATAAGAGTGAAATGTGCAATAACCTCTGATTGATTTAACATTTGAGTTTGGAGCGGCATAATCTGTTTATGTGGAGAGCCAAGAACAGTCTCTGACCATACTTCCCTAATAACAAGATTAAAACACTGATTTCAAACAAGGAAATTACAGTGACCAAAACATCTCATCCAAATGAAAAGCATGTGGGATAAATGTTTCCTGCCTTTCAAAACAGTTGAAGTCTTATTTTCTGAATCTATCAAGACAAATACATAACCCCAATGTTAGTTTTCAACTGCATGGGGGTCCAAAGCTCTACTAACATGAGAATCTTGTTGACTTCGGAATGTATTAATCCAGGACACATTTCAGCCAAATTTGGTAGCTTTAGCGTAGACTTACTTTTAGTCCCTTCTATTTAGCTAGTTATCTCTTTGTTTTTACCGCACTGTTAAGGAAAATATATCTGGCTTTGACAATGTTTTATATGCTGCAACAATGCAGGGAATATGATTTTGCAACAATGCAAGCAAGGTATAAAGCCATAATAAACCATAAAAATATCCATTGCATGAAAAATGTTAATACATGGTAACCCTTAACCTTAAGGTAACCTTAAGTGTTACCTTTACCTTCTCTGTAGTATAGTAATACTTTATTTAAAGCATCCAGGTATAATGCATTATAATGCAGTTATAATACATTGTAAGACT